AAGGGTATTCAATATTCACATCCCTGGTCTATGGTCAGAGGGAATTCACTCTCTTAAAAAACGTTAAAATGGCTTAAAAGGGGAATAAAATGGTAAGATATTACTTTTCAATGCAACTACATCTGCCATAATTGACCCTACAGTGCTCTCATCTGGTAACAAATCTATTCAGATATTTTAATTATGGTCAGAAAGGATTCAATGGCAGCTTAATCCAAGTGTGGACCCTGAAAATGGATTTTGGGCTTCCACTGTCATCCATAGCCCTCTGAAAACCAGGCGTTCACAATTTAAGCTCTGATACCATTCCCTCCTTTGGTTTTAGATTTTATTATTTACAATCCTTGGATCACACAGTTTGCTGTATTTCCTCCATGTGGACTCAAGTGATGTCCCACTTAGATGGCTGCTTGTTTGAAGACAAACCATAAAGACTTTCTTAAAGAGTAGATAATGAGATAATATGATAGGATTATCTGATACCTTTAAAAGTTAGTACAAGTATAACATAAGAATATTCTCATATTTTAATAATTACCAAACTCACAGAATATTCACTGTTGTGTGACTGATGTTTACCTTATATATTGTCCATAATATATGTACCATAAGATTACTATTTTTATCATTTCTATAAGCTGCACATAAACCTTTATATAGAAAAAATGAGGAACAATGCAGGCAAAATAAGTGCTGAGAGTCTGAAATGATTCACAGCTGATATCCAGCTGAGGCAACACCTCAGGAAGAATACTATCAGACCTGCCATCTTGTAGATCAAACGGGGACAAGTTTATGTAAACTTTTTAGCTATAAACAAAAGCCTGGGTAGAAAGAGTCCCTTGGCCTGAGAGGTCAGGACCACAGTTGTGGAGAACATCAAGCTCAATTGGCATAACAATAGTCCACAAAGGCCATGTTCTACACACTGCTTTGTTGAGTCATGACTTGGATCTTTATTAAAGTTTGAGCAGTCATCTAAGAAGGAACTATTGGTCTTTCTCCTTCCAGAGCAAAGAACGAAAACAACCAAGACACATGGAAACAGTACAAATGACTAATGGGAACACATGAACCTCAGCCTCCACAACCTTGAGAACAAAAATGGTCGATGACGCCCAACTACTGCTGCTGGCTGCTCAATAAAGGATTAAAATAGGGGGTCCTGGCTAGAATGAGAAAACCACATTGAACATAATTCAAAATCATAAAAGAGATTGGGTATAATGATCTGATAGAGGCTGGTGGAACCCTGAGACTGGGGCCCTCCGTCAACCTTCCAACCTGGAACTGAACTCATGCCCATGGTTCAACTTTTAACTAAACAATAGATAGGTCTACAAGGTGAACAATAATGCCAGGGAGGTTCACGCTCCTTAGCACCACCAACTACACAAGAGCAACAGGGCAGCACGTTCTCAGGGATAAAGCTCAGGAGGCAGGAACAGATAGAAAAGAAGGATGAATGGAAAGTGGAAGGGAGTGGGAAGATTCTGTTACATTGTTGGGGCTGCAATGTATGTGTAGGAATTGCGGAATGTGGAAAACAAATTTGCTTTCTAAATTTTCAATCAAATCATCAGCATAATTTTTTTTTTCGTTTTTAAAGGCAGAAATACCAGTTCCAATGTCAGAAAACTACAGATGTTATTTCTTTGTTAAAAAACATTACTATACAACAACTGGAAGAATGTAATAAATGTCAATAAATTGTGTATGTCAAAACTGTTGAATTATAGATTTTGCTGTACAGTGAACCCTCGCCACTTCGCGCTT